AAAAAAAAAAAAAAAAAAGAGCTTGTACATCTCCGGGAGCCACGCAGCTGAAGGAGTGTGACACACGGCTCAACTCACAGACCCAGGGCCACTGATGGGATTTCAACCCTCCAGGGAGCTCAAGGCTCCAGATTCAAAACCAAAACAGGATCCACAGGTTTTCAGAGCTTCCTCCAGCTCATCCTTCCTGCCCTCTTTTGAACTTTCCTAATTTGAGCTTCTGGATACTGGGGGAAATTCTTCAAGTGGAAGTCCTCTGACCCCTCTCATGAGAGCGTGTGCTTTTCCACTTTTCACTGCCTACACTCTGTCTTCAGTGGGCTGGAAAATGCAGTCCCGGTTGGTTCAGGCTCAAGAATCAAGCTGGAAAATGCTCAAGCGATAAGCATCCCTATCGCAGGGGAGCATTCCTGTCTGGCTGGCCTCAGCGCGGCCCTATTTGTGAGTATAAGTGGGTGGCGTGGGCCTGTTTAAGCCTCTGTGTTCTGGAACCACAGGTCCCCATCACCCGCCCCCAAGACCTGGGAGTTGGAGGTGGACCTCCTCTCTTGCACCCTCTTTGGCGATGCCCTGCGTCACTGGGCTCTGGCCGAGGACTGCACCTCGCTCTTTGCAGAAGGGCTCAGGTGTCCCAGGGCTCAGCTACATCAAGGTCACCTGGGAATTCTTACCAAGCATTTACATCCCTGAGTTCCACCCAGAGCTGCTGAGCGAGAATATCAAAGGGCCGGGCCCAGAAATCATCTGGTGACTCCTTTTTTCTACAGAAAGAACTACTGATTTTAGGGTTATTTCATCTATGTTCAAGCTGGTCTTTCTCTCTTAATTTTATTTTTCAGTTACGGTGCACATCCAACATTCTTTTGTATTAGTGCCAGGTGTACAGTATAGAGCCGAGGCAATCACATACTTCACAAAGTGTCCCTGCCAATATTTCAGGCACCACCCAGTGCCATGCATAGTTATTACGATATCGGGGACCATATTTCCCTGTGCTTTGCTTTACATGCCCGGGACTATTTTGTAACTTAAGCCTTCCAACCCCCTTTCCCTCCGATACCCCTCAGCCTGATCTCTGTGTCTATGAGTCTGTTTCTATTTTGTTTCTTCTAAGCTGGTCTTAAAGCAATAATCAAAATGTATATACTTTGCCTCCAAAGACATTCGCTCACATCTGGCATCCTTACTGACACCTTTAGATTCTTGCTTTGGGCTAGAAAATGTTTATTCTGTTAGTCAAATCATGCAACTTCAGATAATACAGAAAGCCAACTCAAACCTCAGGCCTACCTTTAACAGACCACAAAACCCAGCGCCCTTGCTTTGTAAGAAATGTTTAATAGGCATGACAAGGATTTTTAAAATGAGTGGTGGTTACTGCGTACCTGACAACCAGTCACTCTGGGATTTCTGATTTAAGTATCTCTCCTCCCTCCTTGGAAGGAAGATGGACGAGAGAGAAAGATTGTATGTTGGCTGATGTCATGCGTCATGGGGAAAAACACATTTTGGAGAGGTCACGTAAAAACCGTAAATAAACCAGATGCTGTTTCAGGATCCTCCGCATTCTAAAGACTTTTCGGAAAGGTTAATCCATGCATTCCTACTTTTCCGTTGTATAGTGAATTTTAATAAGTGTTGAAAGAAACAACCAAAATAAACCTCCCGTCCTACAGATTTCAAAGAACTTTTCCTTCAGCTTCAAATACAAGGCCTCATGGAAACGGTAACAACATCAGCGCCCGTTCTCAAGGAGGAAACCTTACTGCTAAGGGTCTCATGGGCCGCACAGCGGCCTGTCTTCTGTACTATTATTTTTTAAAGCAGAAATCAGCATAAGGAGCTATTTTCCCAGGTATGATGCAGGGATGCGTAAATGACGGCCGTCCCGCGAGTGTCATCTTGTTGGGCTCTCTGGATTGAAGGGACATAAGAGGGTGGGCTCCCCCATTCTTGTTATAATCACTGTCCCGAGAATCTTAATGCGCCATAGATTCCATAATTTTTTTTTCCCTCTGTGCTGGGCCGCTCTGACCTTTTCAATATTCTATAATTTGACTGGCTGGCCACCCCGGCCCTGTCCCTTTTTACAGCCTTATTAACTCGCGGGAAGGCGGCGGGCCGCGGGGCCCACCGAGTGCGCAGCCCCGCAAAGGGCAGCGGGGCCCTGCTCGCTGCGGGCGCCCACGGAGGCCTGCGGGCCGGGCATTATTCATGCGACACAGACCGTAACAAGTAGGGAAAATGGCACAACACGAGTCCCGTCTCGTGACAAGGATGGT